AAAAAAATTAACCAACAATGGTTAACTTTATTTGTCTTTGTTACAAAAAAAAAGGTGGTTGGTATATTCTAATACGTACAGTAATGAATAAAATAAGTATTATATAATGCCGTAATATTAAGAACTATAAACTTAGTGATTTTAAAACTCAAGACTACGTAGACGAATTCTAATAGTCTAATAGTTAGCTTTTAGTAAACAAACATTTACCAGTAATAGTAGACAAGGACAGAAATTAAAAATTCAAAGTTCTATAATTTTCAAGGTCATTGACTGTAGGATTAAAAATCAATGTAGATATATATTTAAATAAAAGGGACACATTGTGATACATTGTTTGTGCATATAATCAATATATAGAAAACCAGGAACTGAATCGGGAATTTGACTATGAAGGTAAAGATCGATAATTGTAACTTAGTCAATGTACACGGGCTAACAGCTGAAAATGCATGAAATTTGCCACATTTTTTTTTTCTCATAGAAATACCTAATTTGTGACAGACTTTAATGGAACAGCAAGGTTTATCGAGATTTGGTATCTGTTAAAAAGAGTATATTTTTTTTCGGTCCGTAAAAAAATAAATAAATAAATAAATAAATATTAAAAAAAACAAAAGAAAACTTTTTACGAAAATCCTACCAAGGATAACTACTTTAACATTTGAAAAAGAATGTTTTGATTGATATTGATGATGATATTGATATAATAGATTGATATCATTTTAATCATAAATAAAGATCTTTTCTAAATATTTCAATCTATAAAGCTCGAAACACCAATTACTAAACTCAAATAATGAAATTCATTTCCAATTCAGAAAATCACAGCCCATTACTTTAATAGGAAAATTGTTTTCTATGCAAATGAAAAATCCTTGAAATAGATAATTAAGGAGATTAGGTTAAGTCATTTGGAAAATCATTTATGTTTTTAAAAATTGATAACATATAAAGCATTTTGCATGATTTGAAACTGGGGTCCCGATTATTATGTATTCAGCTATTCTGCTATACTATTTTGCGTGTAAAAATTTGTATCAGATTTAACTTTCTTACCTAAGTACCTAAATGCCTAAATGCCTAAATGCTGATTGATATTCACAACAACTTACCTTGTAAACGAAAAATTATATTTTTAACTATATATAAAGCTTATATAAAGCTGTAAAGTATATACATATAACTTAGAGATGCGAACAGTTTTTGGCCCGAATTATGGTTAATTTGGGCCGAAAACTGTTAGGATCGCATCTCTACATATAACGACAATACGATGTATAAGTAAGATATTTACGTAAATAGGTTGTTTAAGCTATCAATAACCTGGTACAGAATTTCCGTTATTTAGCCGATTGGTTCAATTTTGTTCAATATTAAAAAAAAAATTTTCCCCAAGATTTACAGTTATTTTTAGATAAATTCCATTGTCTTAGTACTTATTTATTTAGTGATAGAATTCGGCGTAAATAATTGTACAAGTTAGGGAAGGAACAAATACAGGTAAAGAACAAAGGACTTTTGTACTCAACAATTATGAAAAAAGAAGAGAATAAGGGGGGAGGTCATAAAATATAAATGGATGAATAAATGAATTCGTGTTATAGTAAATTTTTCTTTTAAAAAAATGAATGAATGCTTCAAACCACTTTGTTTGCCGAAAAAAATTTCATTTCGTTTGTTCCGTAAACATTGAAAAAAGATATTTAAAATATGCACATACTGTATGTACGTACAGTACATACATACATACATACATACATAAGTAGTCGTATGTATGTGTGCAAGCATATCGAAACATTTCCTACCAGCTACTGTCTTAGCGTCACTGTTATCGGATATTTCATGCAGATTATAAGATTATAAGACAATTGGATTATAATATTTATTGTTTATCAGCTTATTATAAAATTTTCATTAAGAGTAATTGTTTAATTTTTAATAAGTATTACAAACGTTACATTGCCATAATTGGTGATTTTCAATAATGTATGTTAATCAGATACGTAGACAGGTTTTTCATTACCGTTACTCTTACGTACTCGTACGATGAAAAAACAAAAAAAAAATCCAGTATTAATTCAAGAATGTTTAATAAGGTAATTTTAATAAGGAATTTTTAATAAGGTATTCGAAATACTAAAAAATATTAAAGTATACTTGGAGTATTCGAAAGAAAGCAGGAATTCGTTTTAAATGAAAGAAGAACTAACGTAATAAGGTTACATTTCAAAAACAAAAACAAAAACAAGGGTCTAAATTACGTACATACGTACATACGTACATACGTACGTACGTACGTATGAAAAAAAAAAAAGACTATTCATTTCCAAATTTATTTCATACCTGATTTATTTCATACCTGTTAACATTTTGAAGCCAACGCGGCGGCGTTCCTTTTCCAATGATATTTTATGGCAATAACAATAGAAAATCTTATATAATATTATTATAAATGTTTGTTATTGCATCATAATTGTGTATATATAATCGTGATTAAGGCAAGTTGACGTTTACGGTGCCCAATTACTATCTATTTTGCACTCAAGATTAAGTACACGTATAAGTATGGCAAACACTGCATAAAACGAGGTCAATCAATAAAGATAACGTGTGGCTTGAATTCATTAACGTTAATATTGTATATATTTACATTTTGAGTTTTTTGATTATCGCATCATTGTTTTAAATTACTTGTTTATATGTAAATAAAGAACAGAGAAGTTTTTTTCACGATGAATTTTTTTTAATAAATTTTAATTAATAAATTTTAATAAATTGAGAATAATCAAATATCAATAACGAATAAAATATCAATAACGAATATCGATAATCCAAACAAATTAGAAACGGAAAATATTTTTCAATTAGTTAAGTTAGGTTCATGTCATTGTTAAAAATTGAATATATAATTAGATAACTAGGTATATTTTAATTATTTTAGTTTAATACAGTAAATTTTATAGTTTATGCTGTAATGATACGTAACGGTAAGGGTTCATTAATAATTTGTCTTGTAAACGCATATTAACGCTTATTTACGTATCCTTTTAATTCTTACGGTTTTTTTTAAAATAAACAAACACACGCAAAATATAATAATTGTTGAAGTTATTTGAAATTCAACAATTGTACTACGTACGACTATTACCTCTTTAAAAGAAGGATTTAATTTTTGAGACAAAGGGGGCTTGGAGTGTTTAGGATTGTGTCTACCTTTAATGATTAACATTTCAAAAATGATAAAAATGTTAAAGTTTAAATTTTTATGATGTATTAAGGCTGCCTTCGATTTCTATTTAATTGGTATATTTATTTGTTACGTACTGTTGTTCCGAAACTTTAAACTGTCTGCCAAATTGTTAACACAGTAACATGAGACATCTTATGTCTATCAAAGTCTTGTGTTCTAAATCGGTATGATTGTATATTATTGTGTCTACTAAAATTGTTTATCCTGTATTACTATAATATAGTATATATTACTATAATATAGTATATATTACTATAATATAGTAATATTATTACTATAATATAGTATATATTACTATAATATAGTAATATTATTACTATAATATAGTATTATATACTATAATATAGTAATATTATTACTATATTACTGTATTGCTGTATTACTGTCTGTATTAACTAACGCTAATGATACATATAATGCTATACGTATACGTAGAAAGTTTAAAAGATCATCTAAAAAATGCAAATAAAGAAATTTTTGCCGTTTATCTTTTAAACCGCAATGAAATAATTTTTTTGATATATTCCTAACAACTTTTTTTGACATGTTACGATAATTGTCCCTTCTTGCTGTCTTAAATGTTTCTTATCGGCTTTAATTAATTCCTAGATTTATGATTATTATACACAAGTACGTAACTATATACAGTATTTATTGTGATACCGCATTACAGTTGTTACAACTTCTTCGCGTGCATATTTTTTATGCGTTACTATACTCTCCGTATATATGCAACATATTTATTTATATCTATTACACACTAGTTCATTTATAAATACATTGCATATATATACTTATTTATTTATTGGTTCTATGAATACTTTGAATACAACATAAATAAAATAATTATTGGCATATTTTAAACCACTAAGAAGCTTCTTGTACTCTTTGAATATAAACAAGTCAATTCTACGTTAAAGTTCCGCGAGCTTTCTTCACACACAAGTTTAATCATTCCGCCAAAGTTAATCCTTGTTTGACAACAATTACCACAGCCCCCCCATTAATCTCTTTTTTTATTTTATATATATATATATATATATAATAGATATATATATACATACTATATACATACTATATATATATATATTATATATATATTTATTATTTATTGTATTCATTTTTATTTTTTTCTCTATCGCTTTTCTTCCTTTTGTCCGGCTTTTTGTTATCTTTGTTATCCACTGTATTTTTCTCTTTACTATTCCTATTTATTTTTTTTCTCCTCTGTATTTTTTGTATTGTAAAGTACGTTCGTTACGTGTTTCGCTCTCCTGATACTCTTTTACTTGTTCGAAGAACCCCCTATTTTTGTTGGTGAGTAAAACTAATATAGATATACATACGTATCAGTACATATAATACATATTAGTATTATATATAAAATATATATATAACACATTAGCTAACCTCCCCACGTTTCTTCCTTCTGACAGGGTTTCATTACACATAACTCTTGTATTTACTGGTATCTACTTGTTTATCTTTGTTGAAATTATTAAAGAAAGAGAGGAACTTTTTCGAAAAAAATAATCCTTAAAATTATATATATATAAAAAAAAAACCGGACCCCCCGTGCAACTTCGCCCCGAAGAAATTCTATCGAAATTTTTTTTTTTAAAAAAAAAAAAAAATTTCCATTAAATAATAATATTATTATTAACAACACACACGCACACATATAGATATAGATATATATATATTATATTTATTATATATATATAATATTATATATATATTAATAATAATGAAAAGTTTATTTAAAAATGATAAAAATGAACAAACTCGTTCACATACTTCTAATCCTGAAGAAGATGGAAAATCTAAACCTTCGGTGATGTCAAAATTAAAAAGTTTACGTAAAAAGAAAGATAGTAATGGTGAACTTGATAGAAGAAGTATAACTGAAAAAAATCTTGATGAATCTTTTGTTACAAAAGATGATTATGCTAAAAGTATTAATAGTAATCATCGTCAAAGTATTATAAGTATTAATGGTAATAATCGTGTTAGTGTAGCTGATTATGATAATTTAGTTAAAGAATTAGAAAAAGCTAATAATGAAAGAGAATCTATTAAACAACAAGCTGAAAAAGCAAAAGAAGAACTTGAACGTCGTGATAGTGATATTCAAAGTTTGAAAGATGAACTTAGAAATAGTAAAGAATTCGCTGAAAAATTACAAAAAGATCCTTCTTTACCTACTACTCCTGATCGTCAATCACATGACCTTTCTTTGGCTGTCGATAATGCTCTTCAACAAGAAGTTGATCGTTTAAAGAATGAATTACAACAAAAAAATAATGTTATTGAACAACTTAATTCAAAATTAGCAAACTCAACTGATAATAATGATATTAAAAAATTTCAATTTGAACTAGAAGAAAAAGATCAATTAATTAAAAAATTAAATGCTGAATTACAAGATCGTCATTCGGAGCTTAATTCAAACAAACAAGAAATTGAAAAGATAAAGAAAGAAGCTTTGGAAAAATCTAAATCAATGACTTCAGAAACTGAAAATACTAAAGTCGCTCTTGAAGTAAACAAACATGAAATCTCTAATTTAAAAGCTGAACTTGAACAACGTAATACTATTATTCAACAATTAACTTCCGATTTAAATACTCGTAATTCGGCTCTTGAAAAAGCTCAAGTTACTCTTAAATCAAGTGATGAACTTTCTACAAGTTTAAAATCTGAAGTTGATCGTTTAACTTCTGATTTAGAATTGATTAAAAATGGTTCAAAAGGAAAAATTGATCCTTCGGAATTTGAAAAATGTAAAAATGATCTTAATTCTTGTCAAAATGAGATTATTAAATTAAATGCTGTTATCGAAGAAGCTCAACATTCTTTAACAATGAAAAATGAAGATTATACTAGTGTTAGTCATAATTTAGAAAAATCTCTTGCTTCATTAAGAGAAAGTAATGAAGAAGTCGTTAAATTGAAATCTCAATTTGAAAAAACTCAAAATAATCTTAAATCAAATATTGAAGAAATTTCTAGATTAAAATCAGATATTCAAGAACGTGATCAAATTATTCAAGAATTAAGAGATAATTTAGTTTCTAGTAAACAAGCAACTGAATCAAAAATTACCGCTGAAAGAGATTCTTTAAAAAAAGAATTACAAAAAACTAAAGCTGATTATCAAAATCGTTCAAAAGAACTACAACAAGTGAATATTGCTCTTCAAGCTGCTAGCACTGAAAAACAAGTCGTTATTGAACAACGTAATCAACTTCAAGCTGAACTTGAATTGGCTCAAACTAGTATTCACAAAATTAGACATGATCTTGAACAAAATTATTCGGATTTACAAGAAGTAAAGAATCAACTTAATGAACGTGATCAAAAAATTAATCAACAATCCATTCTAGTACAATCAATGGTATCAAAAGATAAATTTGATTCTATAAATAAAGCTTATAATGAAATTAAATCTGAATTGGAAAATACGAAATCCGAACTTGAATTAAAACGTAATTCACAAGCTGATGGTTCATCCGTTGAAGAACTTCGTGCTCAACTTTCAAATGCAAAAGCTGAATTGGGTGCAAAAGAATGGGAAAAGAAACGTAGTGCATCTGAAATCTCGGACCTAAAAACTAAAATCGAGAATTTAGTTAATAAAGGTATACATATATACATATATATTTATATAATATATCTTTTTAATTCGTTTATTCGTTTATACAATATCAGTATCTTATGTATGTTACCTTTTTTTATAGAACGAGAAGATGCCAAGAGTCGACAACAACTTGAGCAAAAAGGTTATTATTAATACTATTTACTACAAACATAATAATGAGTTACTAATTATTTATCAATTTTTCATACTGTATCGTAGTACAAGAATTAATGAATGAAAACGAACGAGTACGACTTGAAAATATCTCTTTATCAGAATATGAACGACAGGCTCGTGAACTTGCTGAATCAATGGCCAAAAAATCAAAATCACCGAAATCACCGAAATCACCAACTATTAATGTAATACCTGCTGAAACAGCATCAACGAATAATTCACGAAGCATTGAACCATCATCATCAAAACCTGAAACGATCTTTGAAGTTCCACCTCCGAAACGTAATAGTGCAATTGAACCATTAGATACTAATGGTGTTGCAACTATACCGCAAGCTAACGTACGAGATCAGAAAAAGGTGGTCCCAGAAATTAGTAAAAATGGTGTAATCTCACGACCAAAGAAGGACGATGGAAATGATGGATGGATTACTGTAAAACGAAGAAGTATGAGACAAAGGAACAGTATGGTAATGGCATAATATTGATTATCAAAGGTGATTTGAAAGCTTTTACTCATAGCTTTTTTTAATATTTCTAAATGCCTTGCTTCCAAACAAACCTTAACCTTCCCCCAATTCTTCTCGATATTAGGTCGATAATATCTCTCTAATTTCCAAGGCTATATGCTGCGTTCTTTTATTTATTTTACTGGGATACTTATTTAATCTATTGGGTGGTACAAGGTTTAATATTCTTTTTGATTATTATAAAACTTATTACATTTTTTAATTGCATTTTTCCCGAATGCACTATATTATTATAAAAAATGTTGCAAAAAAATTTTTTTATAGAAATTAATTTGTGTATAGTGTAAATATTATATATATGCATTTTTTCCTCTTTATATCTTTTTTTTAAGAAAAAAAAAAAAAAAAAAATACTTCAAAACTTTTCTTCAAGTTGAATTATGAAGCATCACAATAGTATTAGTTTTCGGGAAAAGCAAATATAATCGATCAATATTAGTTTAATATCTTCAAATGGTGCTTCATATTCTAAATGGAAGGTTTTAAGAAGATCCCACGTTTTTTTAATACTTTTATTTTTCCTTTTCTTTTTTTTTTTCTTTTTGTTTTGGCTAAATTGTGTTTTGTTTCTTTTATTTTTAGTATTTTATTGATATCTTTCTTTTTTATCTAAATATACATATATTTTAACAAATTTTGGATTTTATTTAAATATATATATATTATTATTTCTTCAGTAACTAGTCATACAAAAACGTTATTATTATTTATTGACTGGTGTTGAAGCTGGATTTTTTTTTTTTTTTTTCTTTTCTTTAATTTTCAAGAAACGATATATACATATAAAACAAATAAAAACTCAAAATGCAAAAAAATAAAAAAATAAATAAAAAAAATAAAAAAAATATATGATGCGTAAAGATATGCAATTTAATTTATCACGTGTAATTTATTAACAAAATATGTAAACAAGACGCGTTCGCGTATAATACATCAGATATCTGATATAGTAAATATCATCCGTGTGATGTGACTATAACATAATGGTATAGTTAAATCTAATACAGTAATAGAGATAACGATAAGCATTTAATTTTTAATTAAAAAAACAAAGTTCAAATTATGTAAATTACGGAATTGCAAAATTAATACCTAATTTATTAAGATCAATTTGAAATTTTAATCCGTCTATGGAAGTTTGTCATAGTTATACGTAGATTTAATAGATTAATAGTTAGTGTCCTCGTGGGTGTACGTACATTACGTATCAGGTATGTAATCTATTAGTTGTTAGTCACACGATATTCACACGATATCAGCTATATAAAATTGAACTTGGAGCGTGTAAAAGTAGTAATGATACGTTACCTGCAAGTTTAATTCACACGCACATTGTTCTTATTTTTCTCACGTTTCTAAAATTAGTCTTTTGGAGATACACGTGGTCTTTAGCCGAACATTTATTTAATGGTTCACCTTTCATCATTAACAATTTTATTTAAAAATTTCTTGGTACGCGTTTATTCTCACGTGCCATCTCAATTACAGAATTACGTCACTCGTGATTATGCTGCTCAAGTTATTCGAATTTTAAATTACTATTTATATAAAAGTTAATACTGTATATAATGAGTGATTTATTATAACCTTGTTTTCTTTAATCGAAAGTTTAATATTAGTTATTAGTTTTTCTTAACAGTTAAGTCAAAGGTAAAGGTTACATAGTATTATTACTGTATTATGATCAGGGTGTCCAGGATTATACGATGGATGCGAAATAAATTTAACCAAAATATTTAATAAATAAGGTGCGATTTATTCTATATAATTCTACCCAACATCTTCGGAATTTTTCGCTTGTCTACCATACCATGCTCGTAATTTAGGTTCGTTGATTTTCTACATTGGAACTTTTCGGAATTTACTCCAACAAACTCTCAACGATTGACCAATTATGCGAAGCATCCACGATGCGAATATTTGGTAAATTATGCGCATATTATGCTTTCGCATAATCCTGGACACCCTAATTATGATACATCTGTTGGAATTACCGTAGTACGTGTATCTAGTATTATTGATATGTATTGCTTCGCAGTAAGGTATAAGTTGTATGTGGATACATTATATCTATTGATTCAGATAAAACAATCCATTTTTACATATTGTAACGATTAATTTTTCCTGTGTCTCCTCACTTCCGTATTTGTCTAATCTTTAAGTTGCCACTTGTCTTCCATAATTGTACTATCGTAGCCATGTTAATCTTACCTTAGTAGTATTAGGCATTATTATGTATACTTGGTGGCTTAATTCATGTAAGCGCGTCTACACTCAAAATATCGCGTTGAGATTTCTGTGTTGACAATCTGTAAAATTAAAATGTAAATAAGAGCGTGTCTTCACCCTTAGTTGAGAACAACACACGCTCTAAAATAATGACCACATGTTTTTATAATAAGTGCCTGATAAATCATGAATATCCGAATACCATATACCGGTACTTATTGCCCAGTTCATGTGACCTTCTAACGTCAACCATCGGAGTTAAACTCGGCATGACTCCACTTATAATAAATTTTTTTTGGGACGAAATATATTTGCAATATAAAGAACTATTAAATGATAATCAAAATGCATCAGTTAGTGATTAAAAAAAGATCCTTGTTCAGGGACTTTTCACTAGACAATTTTGAGTAAATCGAATTTAAATGCTAGGTGCTAAGAAAAGGGACCAAATTGGCAAGAAAAAAGATCTTCAGAAAATCAATTTTTATGTTGTAAATCTTACAATAAATGCAAACTGAGACTTTTATGTTTTAAGTAAAAAATGATCCTAATCTTTATGTAAAAAAACATCTTTTGAAAAAATTGTCAATTTCGTCCCTTTCTCAGCACCTAGCCCAAATGATCTACAAATAGTAACACAATATTTTCTGTCTTTTTATTATATAATTAATTAGCTTTTGTAACTTATGACGAACTTTTTTTATTGTATCTATTCGAAAATCAAATAAAAACAGGATGAATGAATGAATGAATGTAAGGCTGCATACCGGATATATTTTTTAGTCTGTTGAGGTACTGAAAATCCTAAAACTCTAAAAAAAAAAAAAAAAGTAAATTTGCTTTTCACTAAACTCGGATTGTTGAATTTTTAACAACAATCGTCTAATCGAATTGTTCTAAAACATATTTGATATTATACAATTCTGAAATAATTGATTCATTAGAGTTTGGAACCGGTTATTATTTCTTATCATTGTATTAAAACGATTAAAACTAGTTTTAACATTATTAAGAAAAGTTCCAAATTCTGTTCATGATTATCAATTAATCGATAATTTGGGAAGTGCCATTTATTACGTAATTTTAAAAGGGTCTGATCTTCTAATAAAAAGAAATTACGTAATAAACGCCCCCTTTAATGATGTCAATTCTGCAATTGTTGGTAACCTTTGAAATGGAAGTCCTCAGACACTTACAATCGCGTGAATTTGCACTTACCAACGTACGATGTCCGAATAATTTTATTATGTGCAAATTCACGTGACTGGTAAGTGTCCGAAGACTTTCCCCATATTTTACGATGCGATGCACTTAATCAGAAATTTATAATTCCCCGATCACTATATCAAGATCACGGGATTATTAATATAATTTACCGGCTGAAGTCTGGTTTTCCTTTGAATCATTTAAGGATTGTGTTATGAAAGTTATAATCTTATAATACACAAAATGTTCTCGGTTTTCATATAATTTCATCACGTTATTTACAAAGTATCAGCTTTAAAAGTTCGACCTATCGTATGTTTTACAAATTACATGAACCAAAATTTACATAAAATTACAACGATAAGTAAAAGACATATTTATTAGCATTATTATTAATTAAAATTTTACATATATCAAATTGTTTTTCTACAATAAATTTTTCAACATAGATTTAAAAGTAAAATATTCTCACGAAAACCAAGTGTAAGCTCTTAAATTAATCCCATCCCAATTAGTATGTCTCCAATTAAATTTACTCTTACAACTAACTCTAAAACTATTACTTATAACCCCAATTATTTTTAATAATCAGGTCTATAGTAATTTATTAAATCATAAATTTTGTACTATCATAAGTTACCATTATCATTATAGTAACTAGTAAAAGTCTGCGAATATTCCTCATTAAAAGTCAAAAATTGCTGAAATTGCGTAGGATCCGTTGGTCCTGTTTTTTTTTTCAAAAGAATGTAATTATTGCAATATCTGTTAAAGTAAATATGAAGAAAATTTAACCATTACCCTTACCAAAGTTATTAAAGCACATTGATGCATCTTCAGAGATATACCTGGGATGTGAAAAGCCAAAACAATAAGATAATAATAACAATAACAACTATTTAATGAAAAATCATACTCTTCTTGTTTCTGGAAATTACTCATTTTTATTTCATATTGCATCCGGAGATTCTTCATTTCTGCCTCATGTTGTGCTAGGAAATTTTTAATTTCTGCTTTCGAAGATTTTTAATCTCCGTTTCATACTGTTCCTGGAGATTTCTGCTCTCTGCTTCATGTTATTCCCGAATATTTCTAATATCCGTTTCAAATTCTAATTTTTATTCTTTATTCTTGAGTTCTACTTTACCCTAAAGTTGATCAATTAAACTTTGAAGATTATGTCTTCTCTGACGATTCTCCTCTTCAAACCGTGATTTCTCATTTCGAGAAGGTTTACTTGGTTCTCAAGGGTCTGATATTTCGCTTTCTCTTTTTGTCTGTATGCGAGATTGATCTCCTTGCGTGTCTTCACATAGCACTGTTTTAAAGAGAAAAAGGCTGCCAGAGTGAATTTAAAAAAAACTTTTGCATTGTATAAATTAGATTATCTTAAGGCTGTTGCAAATCGTACAATGTATTAGTAACACAACCAAATTTTTACTAAATTAATATTTTCTTATGCTCAATCGCACTAACCATTGGGCATTTATCATTTGTATTTGAGTTTACTTATACTAATCTATACTAGGAAAGGAGTCAGTTGGGTTCGGTGAATGCTTCATTTCGAATAATATTATATTATTATTTACGTGCCTAATATATATTATCCGGCAGGTACTATGTAAACATTGACGGAAAAAATTTCACATTATTTCCGCAGATTTTTATTAAAATCATATGAAAAAAATTCTTATTAATTTAATATAAAAATCTGCAAAGGTAATATAAAATACTTTTCGTAAGTGTATACGTCATACCTGCCAGATAACAAGAAAAATTACGATTTAACACCGTAATTTCTACTTTACAACTTGAAAAAAATATTATTAATGACGTCACATTGTAATGATATGGGTTGCAGTCAATAGAAATAAGGCAGATTGACATTTTAATTAAATTTATACCTTAACTTTCACAGCTCATATTTCAATGAATTTTGATCTAATATTCAAAAGAAAGTTTAGATTGTAAGATTTCTTGACTATTAAATCATTAAGATAGCCTCAAAATCTATCGAGATATGAGCTGTGAAAGTTAAGTATTAATTTTTTTTAAAAATGTCATTCTGCATTATTTCTATTGATGGCAGCCTATTATATTATCATTAGGCATGATAATAAAGAAACCAATACTACTTTGCTCACACATTTCTTGAATGTGTCAGGCTATTGGCGTAGTGTGATCTGTACTAATCAAATTCAAGTTCAATTTGTATATTAAATTTTTGTTTACTTATCTTTCGTTCTAGAATCTTTTTTGAATAAAACTTTTTGCCTTGCGCTTCGCCAACCGTCCAGCATTTTTTAGGTTTCTACTTTCTTTAAACTTGTAAATTCCAGATATAAAAGGTATATGTACTTTTTGTATGTAAATAGCGATCGTTATCGTTATCCAAAGTATGCAATGACAACTAGGCATTGCCATAATAGCATTGAGATTGTTATTGAGTTCCAAAACATAATCGAACATATAAATACTCTTTTAACATAATCTACTATTAACGTTAACAATTTAATATCGATATTACGTTGTCATTATTAGATAAACTTTTGAAGTAATCACGTGTCAAATCATGTGAATATTAGTGGTTCTATAACTTCATCAGAAGTTTCTTTTATATTATAACAGTTGTAAGGGAAAATAAGGTGGATAATTAATAAAAGACGAACATACACTATATTTTTATTTAGTTCGGCAGGAAGGGTTAGCATATAGTTTATGCCGCTATCATTTAAATAAGCTTTATTTATCTAGGGAAAATTGCAGAAATTTGTGTGATCTTATAAATTGGCAATTGCTCATGGATTAACGATTAACGGGGGCATTATCTTAATCGTTAATCCATACCCATTAAGCAGAGTTGGCAATGGATAAGCTCCATTGGGAAAATTAGCCAATGGAGCCAATGGAGTGAATGGATATCCATTGGTTCCATTGGCTCCATTGAATTAACCAATCAAATTTATTTTATTAATTATATATATATATTAATTTATAAAATTATTAGTAACTTTTGATCCACTGATCCGTTTTGAGTGATTTAACTACCAAAATGTTCGTCATAATATGAGGATTCTAACAAGCCCAAAATCGCTAAAATCCAATTATAGGGTCTCAAGATCGCTTAATTTTTGTATGATTTTACTAAAAGTTAAAAACTCTTATTAAAATCATACAAAATTTAAGTGATCTTGAGACCCTATGATTGGATTTTAGCGATTTTGGGCTTGTTAGAATTCTTATATTATGATAAACATTTTGGTAGTTAAATCACTCAAAACGGATTAGTGGATCAAAAGTTATTAATAATTTTATAAATTAATATATATGATATATATACAGTAATATATATATATTATAATTTATAGTTATTATGTTGGCCTCCATTGGCAAATTATTCCCAATTGAGCAATGGAGCAATGTCAATAAAGGTCTTCTCCATTGGGCCCAATGGATAAATGTGCCAACCCTGCAGGGCACTGGTGTAATCTGAGGTTACAGATTACTATAACAAGTTATAGTTCTAACTAAGCCCCAACTTAATAAAAATCCATTATCTTAATACAGATATTTTTATTCAAAACGTTACTAGTGGGATTCGAACTTGGTACCATAGTCAAGCTAGCTTGGAAATGTAACAACTCTACCACTTCAATAAGTTGCTATACCTTCTTTTGTATTTTTTATATCTTTTGTATTTTTTATATCTTTAATATTTTTTGTATCTTTTATATCTTTATACTTTTTATACCTTTTGCACCTTTTATACTTTTTGTACTTTTTATACCTTTTGTACTTTTTATATTTTTTATACTTTTTATATCTTTTGTACCTTTTATACTTTTTGTATTTTTTATACTTTTTGTATTTTTTATATCTTTTGTATTTTTTATACTTTTTATACTTTTTTTTTTTTGATATTAAGGTAATATCTTTAGTTTAAGGACTTTTTATTAGAGAACTGGACAGCAGTCTTATAATGTAATTACAACAATGGTATATTAAGCCACATGTGTATCTTTTAAATGCCTAATTTAAGTAGTTCACCCAAAAGTTTTACACTATCTGCTATACCTGTACCTCAACTAGAGGGGTACTCATTTAAACTATCTGATTACAACTATCTGCTATTGCCTCTCTAACCCAGAATATTTCTCACTATATATAAGTAGATTTGGTATCTACCCTATGTGGATTTCACACTCTACTTTAGGACTTACTAATTACAATTTGGATTTATCAATTATAGATATTTTTTAAGCACCAACCTTTCTAACTAGGTGCCTATTATATACTCCTTGTCTTTATTTGGTTCACAACAACTTTGATATCTATATTTAGACTGTCTTCTTACCTGGATTCTTTATCAGTCTCTCCCTTACTTCTAGCTAACAACCCAGAAGGTTAGTCTGTTTAGGCTTTAGGTGCCTCACGGTCACCCTCCCCTTGGTCCATACTTTTGGAGCATATGCCCTTTTTCTCCGATGCATCAGCCTAGTGGTTTGGCTAGTGTGTTCTCCACTTAAGGATCTGATCGCTTAGTTCTTCAATCTTAGGCCCCGGTTCAAATTCAGCCTTTCTGTAGTACTGTTAAAGATCGTTGCTACCTCCAAACTTGGAACTTGCCAAATAGGTTTTTAGTTATTTCAGTTTCTTGGATTTATTATGCTAAAGCTCTCATAACTAGATGGTGTAATCAAAATTACAGATTTGATTCTGGATTCAACTAATAATTGATAACCATCAACCATAATACAGGCTATTTTTCAAATATCATTATCTATCGAATTTGAACTCTAAACTTGTCACTTGGAGAGGGTGATAA